TGCTGACTGAACACAGAAAACTAAGCAATGCCTACCTTAAAAACTATAAAGAACTTAGTAATATTATGGGCCCATAGTGGCTCTCCCCGGTTCTGTCCATAAATGGGGATCTTGTGCACACAGATCTCACACTGCTGCATGGCAAAAAAGTGCGTAATTATTTCCATGGCACCGTCCTCACCCCATTATAGATCTGAGGAGGGTAGTTTGTGGAGGTGGGCTGACGGATGAGGGTAAGACTGCGAAAGAAGCTCATCGTTTATTTCCTTTGCCTCTTCTGGCCTTATACAGGATCCTTGGGAAAAAATGCCTCGGCATTAATTTCCACAGCAATTTCCAGCATCTCTTGCACAATTTTATAAGGAAACTGTCCTGCATAGAAAGCAGTTCCCTGGCTCCTCCCCACATTCTCTCCAGGCACATGTGTAAGGATGTGAGGATTGGCAGTGGTGATCTGGGATATACCAGAAAGCTGTATTTCCCCTCTTTACCATTGACCCTGCATCATTCTGTGTGAATTACACTTGTCTGTTCTCCTTCACTCCAAATAAGGGTGAAACAACATGGACAAATGCAAAACTCCCATAACATCAGTTGGCGGATGGGCTCTAATATTTTCATTGTAAGCATACTAGTGTCAATCAACATCTGTAAAGTAGATATCGTTTGGGAGGGCAAAAATGTTTTTACTTAAACCAGATTCCACTTTGTTGTAGTAACAACCACAATTATACCTCTAACTGGAGTTAGAGCCCTGTGTGGAAACCATTTTCATATTTAGCTAGAAGCCATCTTGTATAACAGAAACCATTTCAGCTTGTTGCTTCTGCAGGTATACCAGAGTGAACTTTCTGTTATCCCAGGACAGAGGCTTACAAGATGAGCTATTGGAATGTGTTAATTGAGCTGGTTAAGGAAGGAGCCTCACTCCCTAGTACCTGCCCTCTATCTTGCTGATAATGGTTTTGCTCCCTGAGTTTAATTGATGATTTCTGTAATTGGATGCCCTGAAGTCAGACTTGTTTGGTTAAGGGTACAATTATACTAGGATTGATTGTATTAGGCAGCCTTACTGGTCCCGGCTCTGCTGGGACCATGTTTGGCTCACTCTTTGCCTTATTGATCAATAAAGCTGTTTATTAGCTGCCAAAACAGAGAGGAGCGTTTGCTTCAACACCTGTTTCTCCTTTATTTAACAATCATGAAGCAGCCTTGTTTTTAGCGGAATGCTATGAAGTTCCAATATGCAAAAGTCCCTTCCAGGTGGAGTTGTGCTTAGAAATAGTCTAGTTTGAAATAGAAGATTCAGCCTGTGGTCAGAGATCGTATGTGTTCTACCACAGAATGTAGGAGTCCCAGCTGTGAGCTAGGATCCCATTGTGCTAGACAATGTACAAACACTGGACACAAAGGGTATGTCTAGACTACATGACTCTGCCGACAAAGGCATGTAAATTAGTCATACCGACATAGTCAATGAAGCGGGGATTTAAATATCCCCCGTTTCATTAGAATAAAAATGGCCACCGTGTTGTGCTGGCTCAGCTGTAAACCTCTTTGCATGAAGCATAAGGGCTCAGTCGGCAAAGGCTTTCCTTGCCGACCGATCCCCGTCTTGACTGCCACTTTGTGCCAACAAACAGCTGAGCTGGCACAACGCAGTGGCCATTTTTATTCTAATGAAGCGGGGGATATTTAAATTGACTACATCGGTATGTCTAATTTACATGCCTCTGTCGGCAGAGGCATGTAGCCTAGACATACCCAAAGGGAGCTTATGTGCACACTTGGGTGTGAGTCACTGTGTAGTTAGTAGAACAATGGCATGTCATAGTAATGGCTGATTTATTAAGACTTCAGCTCCAAGTTCAGTAAAGTGAGTTTTTTTTGTTTTTAAATAATTAGGTGTGCTCTCTGACCCTACAGAAGTTAATGGAACATTTCATATTGACTAAAGGGGCTGGAGTTCACTCTAGGGCAGGAGACTGTAAATCAGCATGTATGTGTGCAAGTCCCAAATTCAAAACATTTCAGTGTGATTACAGGGTATATGTAGGCTAGTTAATAATTCCTGGTTCTCCTACATTTCGTTCCCTGCAGTGTGTGCTCATCCTCTGTCAAGTTGCAGAGCTGGATGTTCCATGTACATTTAAAAATGAAACACTTGTGTTAAGGTTTTCATTCATTTGTCCTGATGAAGTGGTTTGGCATCATTTACAAATCATATTTATCTCACAAGAGTTCTTGGCTCCCAATGTGGAGAAGACAGACATCAGGCCAATCTATCCCCCGCCTTCCTTGTGAGGCCCCAGCACTTACTTTGGAGTTGCTCATCTTGTTTTGATCTCCCTCTGTTTTCTTGGCCATCTTTGAGCTCCCTTGCTGTGTTCTTGCAAGCTTCCTTGAAGCAGTGTCTGGCTACCCATGTCTCACCATTCTGTTCTCGAATCCCCCCTCAGTCGTCATTCTCCTTTTCATACAAATCTCCTTCATCTCGTAAACTTGTGTTTAGTGTTCTCCCTCAAACCCCGTTGCCTTCCTCCCAAGTGCCCCATTCTCATTTGTCTGTCAAGCAAACTTCCTTCCTCGCCTCTCCTCTCCTCTCCCAACCCTACTGTCTTTCCAGTCTCTTTATGTTCATATACCAGCACCTATCACTCTGGTATTTTACCACTACTTCCTCCACAAATGTTTATTTTCCCTCTTATTATTTCAGTCTTTTCTCTGCAGGGGGAATTCTATGCTGCTGTGCATGGGCATAATTAATGTGACACGTGTATTTATTTTTCCCTGCAGAAAATAACTCTTTTTGGAAAGTTGCTGCAGTTCTTCTTTTGCCCACAAAGGGACACTGTGGTACTAAAACAGAGTTGTACAGAGCCCCACCTGCTGACAGGGCAGGGAAGAGGTTGCCTGCCTGGCATCACAGTACCTGTGGGGCCAGGTCAGGAGACAGAGGGTATGGGGGGACAAAGAGCCTGGGGATGCGGGTGTATGTCACAGACGGGTTCACAAGTGCTATTGGGGAAGGACAGACTGAGGCAGGTGTGGAGTAGGAATGGGCCACATGGGGAAGCGGGTTCAAGGACACATGAAGATGTGGGGAGGGGTTCAGGGCCACATGGGGAAGGGGATGATTGAGTGAGGGCACTGAGACACATGGGAAAGGAGATGAAGCACAGGGGGAGGGAGCACAGCAAGATGGAGAGTGACTAAATGAGGTGCAGGGACACATGATGATGGGGGAGCAGGTGTCTGAGTGGCAGTGGGACACATGGGATACAGGAGCAGATGTGCCTGAATGAATGGAAGAGACTAGGGGTCAGCAAGGATCTGCATGGGGGAGGCTAACAATTCTTCCCTGTCCCCTAAAACCCTTTTCAATATTTCCCTCACCCTCACCCAATAACCCCCCAGGTTCATTCCCTCTCCTTCAGCTACTCCGTTACCCCTGACTAGCCCTCCCCACGCCTTTGCACTGCTTCTGATGGGGTGGGAAATACAATTCTGTGATACAGTTTAAATATATTATTCCAAGTTCTATATTACTATGCCCCACAAGGAATCTGTTTGACAAAAAAACGTTTTCTGAATCTTTTTCATTGTATGTATTGTTAGAGACATACTTCATAATTTACTTCAAAATACCTATCAATCAGCAAAACAATTGACACTAGTGAGTTTATGCTGTGTTATTTTGAAAAATAAAATATCCAGAGTTGTGCAGCATTTTAAAATAGTGAGTGGAGAATGTTTAATTTTGTTGTTGTGCAATTCCCCCAGGAGTAGACTGGGTTCTGAAAATGGTAGTTCACCAGGAGAAATTGTCTGTGGCTTAAGAGAATTTCCACATGGAAGTGTGTCCTGACAATCCAGGGCAATAAATCAGTCCCCGAGACAACATGGTGAGAATAGTTGATTGGGTGACCATATGGCACCTCGTGTATCTGATGTATTTGTTGAGGTTGCAAAAGTCGAGAATAGGTATTGCTCCTTCCTTGGATTTGGAAATCAGGAAGTACCAGGAATAGAAACCTTGACCCTAATGTTCTGGTGGCAATTCCTTCACTGCTCCCAAGGCCAGTAAAGAATGGACCTGTTCCAGAAGCAGCATCTCATGAGCAGAGGTGAAAGTGGGCTGATTCAGCACACTGGTAAGAACTGGCCACCGGTACCAGCCTGCAGACAGCTGACATTTTTCTCTCTTCTCCTCCCCTCTCCCTCCCACCTGTCAGGGGCCCTGCCTCTAGGGGTCCACAATGCTTTCCTGCCCCTTTTGCCCAGGGGCATTCAAATTGCTACTGCAGCCCCAGGGTTCCAACTGCTGGCCATGAAAGACTGGCTGATGTGTGTGTGTCCTCAGCCCTTCTATCTGTGGCTCTGCCTCTTCTGGGGACCCAGAGCTGCCCGCCCCCACTAAGTATGCTGGACTTAGTGCAGGGCACAGTGGCAAGTCTAGACATCTACTTTCAGCCCTGCGCGTGAGAGGAGTCTCCAAAGAGGGAAGGGGAGGGACGGCAGGAAGAGGAGTGGAGAGGAATTGGATACCATAGTCCAACCTGATGATGGTGCATGTCTGGAGCAATGGCCAAATTCTGCAGCCAAGATACCCTTTTCATGGTTGCTGTGGATGCTGTAACTCTGGCAGAAGTATCTGCAACATCCAGCACAGACTGTGACAACCTCAGTAAACAGCCTTCAATGCCAGAAATTCCTCTTTGGAGGCTTCAGGGAACCAGGCTGCAAACTTAGACATAGCTGTCAAATTTTCATATTTGTACTTAGACAGCAGTGCCTTCTGGGTCACAATCTGCATTTGTAGGGAGGAGGATGAGGAGGTCTAAATCTTCCCACCCATTAAATATGTCTTTTTGGAGTCCTTGCCTTTAGGAATTGAGGTCTCGGGCAGGCTCCAGGAGTGCATCACTGCCAGGAAGGGCTACTCCCCCAGGAGCAGATGGCTGAAGGATATCCACTAATGTATGGGTTTTCTCATGCAGGAATTCCACTTAAATGCCCAAGGAAGCAGCCATGCACCGGAAAAGGTCCTGCTCTGCCGTTGGAATCTGCTGGCATTGGAAGAGTGGATGAATCAGGCACTGTTGAATCATCCAGGGATGAAGAAGAGGTTGTTAACTGTGCCAAGCCTGGCTCTCTTTTCTGAAGAGGTAGAGCTGGAAGGGGTGGGGGAATATTTAACAAAATACAACGAACACTAATTGAACTAATGAAGGGCAATACTAACTATATACTAGTTAAAATGGTAAAATAGTGAGAGGTTGAGGTTAAAACCACATAGAGCTCTGGTCTCCAAGAAGAAACCAAGGTGGGTCAGAGTGGCATTGCCCCATATAGCAGGGGAGGAGCTATAGCCATGAGGCATGAGCACTGCTGCACTATGGGTACTTCTAGGCAAAATTCTCCAGCTCTGGTGCACAGGGTGCTCGTGTACTTCAGTGGAACACATGGCAGCATCTACTCAAACTGCACTCTGGCTACTGAAATGGCTTTCTCAGCATCACTTGAGTGATTATGTGCAGCCAAGGGGGGCCCTTGACTTAAGGGAGAAGCTATCCAGAGGAATTGGTGGTCTGATGGTTTGGTTTTTGGAAGTGCCAGCCCTGTAAGAGGTCCAGCAGTTTGCAGAGTCACTTCTAGTGAAACTCTGGCATCTTAGACCCCAACCTGGATAAAAGTCCTTGCAATCTCCTCTACCAGAAGGTAAGGACTGGAAGCAGATGAGCCATAAGGAAGGTCTCCCTTGAATGTCAGGCTTGGTGCAAGGTCCACCTGTATATCAGTGGGGTTTGTTTTTCATATGGGTGCTCAAGTCACTGGTATCATGGGTGCCCCTGTATTGCATGTGTTTACAAACAGGTCTGGATGGCAGGTAACCAAAATCCAAGTTAGTAGATCATGGCTCAGTTGATTGTCCCTGTTCACCCAACTGGAACAAAGGTGATCGGCTTGGTAGATTCTGGTAAATCTTACTGGGGCCCCTGGGTTTGAGACCATCTTTCTATAGCATATTCATGGAGATGTTAAACTCTATCCCCATGAAAATGTGCAGCTGACTGTTGAGGGAATTAGGAAGTCCCATGTAATGGGCAGGCCTCAACACTAGTCTACTTCATTATCTTGGGGTGAGATTGGAGCATTTTTCAGTCACTGAGGGGATTTCAGACAGGCCCCAAAGGGTTAAATGAGGTAATCCGGGGAGACAGAAGTCTCAGAAGCTTGGGACATTAGACATACAGGTTCAGGTGAGAAGCTGGAGTGGGACAGGGATCAGGCTGAGGGGTCAACTAACAATGAAACTGTCTCCCATACCAGGGAACATCCTAATTAGAGGGATCAACTTCATCAAGGATCAGAGGGAGGATGATCCAGGGCTGTGACTGGCTTTTTGTGGAAGACCCAGAGTGAGCAAAGCAGTACCCCTGATTTGAGCTTCACAGGAAGCAACTGCACCTGCTGAAGAAAGACTGACTAATGGCCAAGTTTGGTTGCAACTTCTTGTTCATTGGCCACATACGTGTGATAACAGGTGACTGCTTCATGCTATTCCCTCTGTGGGCCACCTTCACTATGAGAAGACACTGACCTGGATTCTGGACTGATTTTTATTGGCCTGAGATTAATCAAATTTAGACTTCTGCAGCTCCTGCCCTAAATGCCAACTCCCAGGATTTAAAGTGGTGAAAAAAATCTCTCATATCCCACTTCCTGCAGCAGGCATCCCATTTGAAAGGACATTGGAAAAAAGTACAGCTGGTTGCATTATAAATGCATTATAGTTGATTACACCACTGGCTATCCTGAGGCAACCCCCCTCTGCACTCTCAATGCAAAAACTATTGCAGTAGAATTGCTAAAAATCCTTGCCAGAGTTGGGGCATAGCAGGTGATCATGTGTCAAAGTACCAGTGGGACCAACTGGCGCCTAGATTCAAAAATTACGTTCCCAAACTGAATTTCTTAGTACCCTAATTTATCTGTGAGAGAGGGAGACAAAAAGGATGATAAAGAAAATAGCAGTGAAAGTGAGTTATATATGTGCGGTTGTTAGTTTTGCTGAATAATACTATATAAATATTAACACAGCTTGCAATTTTAGACTTGGTGGAGACCAGGTTGTGGAAACACCACACAGTATATTTTGTAAATCTGAAATTCTGCTCTCTAATGATCTTTAGCATAAAAAGATCATTGTTCCTCCCACTTTGATTTAAATGACAATAAAACCAGAGGCCAGTCTCCTAGAGGTAGCTTAAAAACAGTACATTGCCTCTCTTTAATCTATTACACCGACAAGCTCTAAGGCTATGTCTATACTGCCCCCATTTTGAGCAAAAAATATGCAAATGAGGCAAAGGATGGACTATTGCCATGCTTTATTTGCATATTTGAGATCCCATTTTTGCACAAGGGGCTTTTGCGCGAGACGTTCTTCCGTATTTTTTTCAGGAAGCATGGCTCTTGTGCAAAACCGGAGCCTCATTAATTACGCAAATGAGGTGTGGCAATATTCCACTTTGCCTCATTTGCATATTTTTTTGTGCAAAACAGGGGCAGCGTAGACAAAGCTTAAGTGTAAAATGTAAAGATATGGTTCTCTATCTTTCCTACTGTGGTGTGGTATATCAAGTGCAAGGGATGGAGGAAGGATGGAGTTGTGGAAGCTACTCTAATGAGCAAGAAAGAATTTGCAGCAGAGTGTTTCTTTCCCAGGAGCTTATGCGTTCATTTTTCAAGTCCAAAAATAATAATCACACCACACAGACCAATGTAAATCAAGAACCCCCAGAGGACTCCTTAGCCTTCTCTGTTGGAGTCAGCTGCAGCAATCTCTCCATTCTTCTTCGTGATCTTATCAAGGACATTTGGAGTGGATCTCACAATCCAAACAATATCAGATTTTCCATAAAGGTGACAGGGAAGAGTTATCTGCCTTGTGTAGCCTCTGTACACAGAGGTTCCAGTCATGTATGCTATCACAAAGGAAAGACTACAATAGCTGTCCAATTCACTAATTTTATATGGGAGACTGAATGAATGAAGTATCGGTTTGAAAATTAGGATTACAGTCATTGCAGAGTGACACAGCCTTGGAGTGTGGAAATGAGCCAAATGGGAAATTAGGACACCGACACAAACACATGCCTTTCCAATGCAGTAACTGAAGTTACATCTGCTCATGTCATCAGTGAATTTGGCCCAGCATGGCTAAGTAGCACATCTAATATGAGATTAATCTGATTTACTGGAGAATCAGAGTGGGTGGAGAAGACTACTATTGATCTCTTAACTCAATATGAAAGAGTAGCGATTAGTTGTAAAGAAAGAGAAATGAACAAGTAGGAGAGCAATCTTTTATAGATTTACTTTTTTAGGAAACACTGCAAAACCTTTCTCTTCAAAAAACCCTTTCCATCATCAGAATAACTCAACAGTAATATTCCTTGCAATCAGTCCTCCTCTCATTAGCCTGACACATATCAATCTAAACAAAAAGTAAATCAATGCAATCTAAATGGTCAGTGTCTAAAAAAAAAAAAAAAAAAAATCTCCCCAACACAGAATTATTACCCCCAAAAGGCAGAGACTCCATGAACACCCTAGAGTTGGACTATGTTGTTGATTTTACATTGGAAGATGCTCAGGTACTATGGGCAGCAACATAAAGCTCTTAAGGTAGCTAGAAATAAGTTTTTATTCTTTCCCACTCCCATCCCATCTGTTCTTTGGCCTGTCCACACTAAAAGTTCAGTATTCTGGAGAACAGACTTTCTATTCACTCCTTAAGAGTAACCCATAAAGTTTGCATAAATTGTTTGTAGACTCCACTTGCTAGTTTTCTGAAAAGAAAAACTCCAAGTTTTGTGTACTGCAGAATTTGAGAGCGATGCTGCAGCTGTCTCAACTACAGTATCTAAAGCTTCAGAGGGGTAGCCAAATTCATCTGTAACTGGAAAAACTTAAACAAATGGTCTCGCAGCATGTTAGAGATGAACAGAACATGTAGGCTACATCTACACTGGCATGATTTTCCGAAAATGCTTTTAACGGAAAACTTTTCCGTTAAAAGCATTTTTGGAAAAGTGCGTCTAGATTGGCAGGATGCTTTTCCAGAAAAGAACTTTTTCCGGAAAAGCATCCGTGGCCAATCTAGACGCGCTTTTCCGCAAAAAAGCCCTGATCGTCATTTTCGCGATCAGGGCTTTTTTGCGGAAAACACTACTGTGCTGTCTAAACTGGCCCTTTTCCGGAACAGTTTTCCGGAAAAAGACTTTTGCCCGAACGGGAGCAGCATAGTTTTTCCAGAAAAGCACTGATGATTTTACATTAGATCGTCAGTGCTTTTCCGGAAATTCAAGCGGCCAGTGTAGACACAGCCGTAGATGGTATCATGAGCTTTCGTGAGCAAAACCCACTTCTTCTGACTACCTTCTCCTGATACCATCTACAAGTTTTGTTAGGCTCTAAAGTGCTGCAAGACTATATGTTGTTTGCATTTTTCAACTACAGTATGGCTGTGTCTAGACTACAAAATTATATTGGGAAAAGATATGCAATTTAAGTATCTTTTTCCGCTTTTCTGACAATTGGCCCATCTGCATGGGTCATTTGTTGGGGGAAAAAAAGCCTCTTTCGGAACATCCCTTCTTCATAGAACACGGTTTAACAGGGATGCTGAAAAAATGTGTCTGCTTTTTCCAAAAAATTTTCAGAAAAGCAGACACGTTCCTTGGACGTGGCAGAGCTTTTCCGGGATACCTCCGGTACCCTACAAAAATTCTGCAATCTAGATGTACCTTGAGTTTGCATACCTGATCCCTTATTCTATGTAACACTTTGTTCTTCAACCTCTTCTGTGTTTGTGAACATTAAACCAGAGGATTTTAAATATTATTTCTAAAAGGCATAGTTAATCTTCTATTAGAAGGACCATGCACTGAAGGACCATGCAATAAAAGGACAATGAACTACTGAAGAACCACTCATTTTGGAAAGTGGTCAATGGCCGCACTTTTCTGTGGAGGAGGTGTGGGGTCTAGGATGGAGGTTGGGTGCAGAAGGGCACATTGGGTAAGGGACTGGGGTGCAGGAGATGGTGCCAGGCCCGAGCAGGAGTTTGAGTGAAGGAGGGGGTTGTGACCCGAGTCAGAAGATGGGGTTGTAGGGTTGGGAGGGAGTGGGGGTACAGGAGAGGATTCTGGCCTCAGGGAGGGAGTTTAGGAGGGGGTGCAGTATCTGGGAGGGAGTTGTGATCTGGGGCAAGGGGATGCATTGGGGTTGGAAGGTGACTTAGGGGAGGGAGTTAGGATGCAAGAGGGGCAGGGGTGCCAGAGGCAGGCTCTGGCCAGGTGGTGCTTACCTAAGCGTCTCCCAGCCTGCAGCTCCCCCAAGGCAGGCCGGGCTCCCTGCCTGTTGCAGCTCCAAAGCATTGAAAATGCAGCCTGCTCCCTCCACATGGCTTTCAACTCCACAAGGAGGGAGAGGATTGTGCTGACTCCATCTCCATCTCTCAACTCCCATTGGCTGGCTGTTTTTGGCCAATAGGAGCCAAGGACTGGATTGGGAGATCTACCTCTCCCTCCAGAGTAGAGTCACATGGAGCAGCCCTGCATTTAAAATAGCAGCTGCTGCTGCATGCCTGAGGGTCCCGGGAAGGGTGTCCACGGGCTGGATCCAGCCATGCGAGGTATCTTGCCCGCCCCTGCAATATACATACCACAATTGTATATGCTTTTTTAAAAAAGAGTTTTGGCTCACGGTGTGTTGAATGTACTTGTTCAATCTGAGTGACCTAGTCAGATCCCGAGAATGAGAAAGATTTTTAACACTCGGCTATCAAAAAAGCTGAAGGGACAATTCACTTACTGTATTCAATAACTGAATTCTGAATTAACGTCATACCGTTAACGACAACAAATCAGAAGTTAAATCTTATTTTTAAAGAGAAAAAGGAAAAACACCCATAGAAGGAAGCTAACCACCAGTTTTAGCCTTTTTCTTCAGAGAAGTGGGTAGGGTTGCCAGATGGTTTCAACAAAAATACCAGACACACTTGACATGACATCACAATCGACATGACATCTTATTTAGAAAATACTGGACAGTTATATTTTCTCATTTATATTTTCTCAATTTGTTTCCTGAAGAGAAAGCTCAAATACTGGACTGTCCAGTTCAAAACTGGCCACCTGGTAACCCTAGAAGTGAGACATTCCTTCGGTAAAATCCTGACCAAATTCCCATAGACTTCCAAGGAGCCAGGCTTCTGCCTACTGTCTGGCAGATTTCTCTTTTGTTGAGTATGGAAGACCCTTTTTTTTTTTTACAGGGAAAGTATCTGTAGCATACTGTTCACATGAACAGCAAAACCCACCTACAACTCTTAGTAACCAACTTTTTATTAGAGCAAATCACTTGTGGAAAATGTACATTATACATTTTGGGTTCAAGACTTATAAATAGAGAAACTCCTACATAAAGAGTTCCATTTTTTCACAGCAAGAAACTTTAAAATAGACAAAGTGACATTATTAAGTACATTGGCAGGCTTCATGTGCTGTCCGAAATGTAGTGTACAGTATAACAACCAATTATAAATAGCCTTTCATGTAAAATACAGCTTTGCACATTTTAGAAAAATACCAACAATTCTGAGCTTTGTTTTAGAAAAGCTTATAAATCATACATATTTATAAATTGTACTAACATGCTTAAATTTATAAACATTTTCAGAAGCTGATTGTTGCCCCATTATTTTCAGAGCATAAAGTATTTTAAATAAACATTGAGTAAGAATTAAATGTCAGTTACAAAATTAGCTCTTTTTGTAAGGAGACATGAGGTGGGCAGGAGCATTTATCCCTTGCATCAAAGCTTACAAGTAAGCTTAAAATGTGTTCTCATTTAAAAATTTTCTGAAATTTAAAAGTAAAACACGATTTTTTATTTTAAAAAATAAATAAATATACAAGTTATTTTCATTTGCTCTCTTTCTGCTTTCTTCTTTATTCCACACTGGTCAAACCACAGGATTATCAACATACTTCTGCAAAAAACCATCATATTATTGCCCTGAACTGAGCTGTTTCAGGATACATAATATTCATTCCATATCTATGTTACTTTATGTGCTGCATCGAAAGATACCTAATGTAGCTTTTAAGAAACTTCTCCATTAGACCATGCAAACAAATATAAAGTTTACAAACATGTTCAAAAACTAAAAATTATGAAATCTTTTCTAAGAGAGATAAAATAAACCATATTCCAAGCCCTTTTGCTTTTTTATTTGAAAGTAAATATTTTAATTTAAAATTATCACACCACCTAAACGTCTGAATGTAAAGAATCATGCTTTTGAGTAATGTAGGGTACATAATTATTGTGTAATGGCATGTGAAAAAACACTGATCACATCAACATAATATAGGACTGAAACTACTTAAGACAAATGTTCCAAGTGAAAATTTCTGTGGTTCTTCCTTTTTTTGTTGAAGCAAAATTATATACGGACTTGAGAGAGATTAAAGTAATCAAACTGATAATGATTATAATGGATCTAAATGATCTACCTGATTTTTATATGTAGTAACTTGCTTATTTCTCACTGTCATTAATGTCCACTTGGACAAGACTTGATTTAACTGCTGGCAAAAATCTCAATATTATAATACAATCATTCAAATTACCATTACACCAGTGTCTGAGAAAAAACCATGCAAAACTTTAATCCCGTTTTTCAAGATATCCTGCCTCCTTTTTATAATGTCCTGGTACTGCCCGAAGATCCTCATGGTAGTATAGGTTGGCTTGCTCTGACACAAGCATTTAAGTATTTTTTGGAAACTATAAAGGACAGCTTTGCCATTACTGCATGTTACCTGCTGAATCTTAAACTCTTGTACCTTCAGATAAAAAAATATATATGTATAATAGATTTTAACGTCTGCTGCTAGATGCAACTAGTATATTTCCTCAGGTTGCACTACATACTTAATTATGGCTATACATCAGGTTTAACAAACAGCAAAAACAGAATCATGCACAAGCAAATGAAATTCAATCTCCTAGATCACTGCAGGAGATGTTAAAAGCAGCAGGTAATGGAATAAGACTGGTGAGTGATGCTGCTAACTATTTCTTCTAATGAGAGAGGAGTGAACGCTGGAATCACTTCCACAGCAACTGAATCCTCTGACTGCATTCCTCTGGCAGTCGTTTTCCAATCTCCCTACTAAAAACATCAGACGATAAAATAGTAAGGCAGCTGCTAGCTTCCATCAACAAAAAGTGCAGCTCCGTACATTTCAGTTTAGTGTCACACTGCTGGAACAGATGGAGTAGCCAATGCACTTCACTGGTTGGGCTGCTTCAGGAGATTTGTTGTTGTTTTCCAACATAGCCGCTTGCTTCAGCTTCCAGAGGACCCCAAAGCCACAAACCATCAGCAGAGAAACGGATCAGGCCCCCTGGCTGAATTTTCCAAGTGTCATCTCTCTTGCGTCCCATCCTAATTCCAAGCCTCCTTCCCTGTGTCTGAGTACGACTGGTGCCATTTAAAAGGCTGATGAGACAACTGCAGAGAATTGTGGGCTAACACCACTAGTTGTCATTACATCACTGAAGGATCAAAACAATTATACGATTAAGCAACTATGTTGAATCACACTCAGGTGTAGTTAAAATTAAATTAGAAAACATTAAAAGTTTGAAAATCTTTATAAATTGAACTGAGGAATCAAACTAATTTGGATATGGTGAATTCTTTTATAAAACACAAGATTTTTCTTACCTTTTCTAAATCCAGTCAAGTTAGAAAATGGACAAAAAGAATGGCTAAACCAATGTTCAACAGCATTACCAAGGCAATCATGACTGAGTTAGGACTCTGAAAATACAATAAAATGTGTTTTGATTACCATTTTTTAAATGAAAAAGTCAAGCACACTTAAACATAATGTATGTTCTAAGTGAAGTCACAATAGGAAATGTGTATCATGACCTTGTCTTCACCTTTTTAAACCTGCCTCTGAAAGATTAATCACCTCTAAAGGTACAGATTCTGTTGCTGATAAACAAAACATTTAAACTAATTATTTCTTGCACTCAGCTGTGTTAAATATCAAGTGTGTGAAAAATGCAATGGATGCTGTAAATGCAGGTGAAATTAAATGTGGTATCATACTGGTTCAATCAAGTCAGGATTAAGTTGTTTTTCAGAAAACTGTGATTGTCCACAGAAAACAAAATAGAGAAAAACAAAACTATGCCAGTTTTTCAGTTTTTTAAAACAAAATTTGAACTTCATAGAAGTTAAAAAAAAAAAGTATAGTATAGCATTTCCTCCCTATTTCAGGCCTCTTCATAGACTCCAACCTTTCCTTAAAAGTAGAAAATAACTATGCTAAGTAAAATCATTCACCCTGACAGTACTTTGATTGGAATTTCCTCTTTCCATCCCTCCACATGTATTTTGGCTAATAAAGGAGATAAGTTAGAGATTCTCTAGAACTCTCTTAATAAATATTTAAACTTTAATTTCAACAGTTGTAGAATTACAGACCTAGTTACTGCTCCTGTCGGCACTGATGGCAAAATTAGCCTATTCTATAAATGGAGGTGGTCAGAATTTTCTGTACATTGGTACAGAAATGTAAAAGTCAGAACAATGTCTACTAGGGATGTAAAATCAAGTTTAATCAGTTAACTGGTCAAACAATGTGTGTAACCATTTACATGGGGGTGGATTGGGGCTGCTCTGGCCAGGCTGGAGTGCCCCCACTCTTGTGGTATGCTTTTCCGGCTGGGCTTGCCATACAGGAGCTGCTCCAGCCAGGCTGAAGTGTCCCTGCTTGTGGTACACTGGGACAGGCCTGCCATGGGCAGTGGCTGCTCTGGCCAGGCTGGAGCACCCCCTGTGCCTGCAGCAAGCCCCGTGGCGGGCGGGGAGGCTGCGCTAGCACCTGCCAGGTAACTGTAACTAGGACTCTTACCAGTTAACTATTCATATCCCTAACTTCCACTCCCTAAGCAAAATCTAAATTTTATTAGAGAGCTGACCCTTATTCTGAGAGATTAATCTTTGTATAATTTCTTCATCTTTATATGAAATAGATTTCCAAAGATTCTGAGGAGTCTTCTGATATGTACAGCTGCTTTTTTAACAATGCCCAGAAAGATATAATTTATACAGATGCTCACTCACGAATAGCTTAAAATAGGTATATTCATTCAACACATGAGATGCCTTGGTTCACCATGACATATTTACTCAGACTCACATTTGATTAACTTTCAAAAAGTGCACCTTTACTGCTAGTAAAAACATCAAAGAAAACACCTCACTTATAAAATTCATTCCTAGCCACACCAAAAGGCAAGACCTGAGCAGGGCAAGATTGTTGGACCTGTTGAAATGACTATTATCTTCAGATCACAAGAGGAATAAACAATTTTAATTAGCTATTAAACAAGAATGTAGTGATTTACTGCAGTTGTGAGGGGAGAGAACTGATGGGGTACTGTAGGACAGGATTAATTTACTGGGCAGGAGATGGGCAGATGTGGGAGTGAGAGCTCCTACAGCAGGGGTCATACCCAGTACGTGTGGGCAACACTAACTGTCACATGCATACACCATAGGAGTGGGGAATTAAAAAAAAATCAAGAGACTGACCTAACACACACAATGCAATCTTTATGGCACACAAACTCATGCCATTTTGGGGCCAATCTCATGATTTTTGGGACTCTGACTCATGATTTTTGATCTCTTGCAGCTGGCAATACTGAGACACTCCCAATTCAATAGCGTGACTGCCTGCTGAGATGCAAAGAGGGTATGAAATGAATGGAGAGGCCCTTGGGGATAGAGATGTAAAATCCCATTTAATTAGGTAACTGGTTACATGTTAAGTTTAACGGGTTGATTTAACAGGGGCGGGTGGGCACAGGGGTTTTCAGCCGCCTTGCCCCTATGGCTGGGCTGCAGTGGCCCCTCCACCGTAGGCATGAGCTGCTTGCGACCCTGCGCTGGGCTGGCAACTCCCACCCACAAGCCTGGGCAACTAAGGATGTAATAGTTTAAATCAGCGTTTCTTAAACTGTGTTCTGCGGCACACTGGTGTGCTGCGGAGGACAACATAATTCAAAATGGCTGCCCTTAAAGAGGCAGGTGACCTTTTTTCCCCTCAATAACTTTCCTG